CATACAGCGCAGACAATATAAACCAACGCGTGATATAATAAATAACTACATAATAATTATAGCCAATCATAATATACCACATAATAATTATAGCCAATCATAATATACCACATAATAATTATAACCAATCATAATATACCCCATAATAATAAAACAACAGCCATAATAAATACCCTTGTTCAACTAATACGCAACTTTATACGTCAAAATACCTTCAAATGGACGATGCTGGATCCATGAAAAGGCCACTATTGTTATTTATGTCACCAATAAAAATGATAATAATCACTGTATATATAGATATATGTATAATATAATTATACATACACATATATATATATATATATATATATATATATATGATAATAATCACTGTATTTGTATGTATATGCATGTATACTGAATGTATTGAATGTATTTGCATGACGATGAGGAAGCAGCCATTGGGGAAGACCTATGACGCACGTACAAACTGGGGCTATAAAGAATCACATGAGTGAGAAATTCAGAACTGGAATGACGTAATGGCAGCAGTTTCATTAAACTTCCGTGATGAACTTGGACGGTGGTTCTATTTTTCAATAAAGTGAATAATTTTGACAGAAAATTTTAATTAGGAAAATTGACTTTAAATTGATTAGTGCCAACAATTCGGAATTCATACAATACTGTATGATATATATATATATATACATATATATATATAATACATACATATATTGTATCAATATAGTGATTGTTATCATTTTCGATATTTATATTTGTTAAAAAAGGGAGGGACAAACAAACAAACATGCATACCAGCAAACAAACATGCATACCAGCAAACAAACATACATACCACGATACCAACATACATACAAACGTACATACAAACGTACATACAAACACACACACAATCAAACAACGTACAAACAACAGACAGCATCATATTCACTCGCGTCATTCGGTCAAGGCGACATAGCACTTAACTCTCTCTCTGAAACTACAAGAAAATCAGATTAAAATTTTAACATGACACAAACATCTAGGCATACACACACACAACACACACACATACATACAAATATACATACAAACAAACATACATACAAACATACATACATACAAACAAACATACTACATACAATCATACAATTTTATTTTTTACGTACTTACACCCATAATCCGTATCTCCAAACAAAGTCAAGGCGTATATAAAATTACTCGTTTTTTTATAACGTAAATGTTATCTTAGTTTATGCTGTTGTTGTTGATGACGTCATAGTTGTTGTTGATGACGTCATAGTTGTTGTTGTAGTTTTTGATGACGTCATCCTTGTTGATGATGATGTCACAGCTATTTTTTACTGTTGCTGTACTAAAAGCCGTCACGAAATGGTGTAATTGTTTAACGTTTAAAAACAATGCGAATAAACAATCGCATTTAATCTATATTATACAAGAACGCATACATACAAGCAAACACACACACGCATAAACATACAAAAAATCATACAAACATAAATACAGCTATACATTATACAAAGATACAACAGCTGCAAACGTAAAAAAGTTCAAATGGTGTTAAAAAAAACCTAACAACGACCAAGATGCTACGTATGCTGGATCGCAATAAGTGATACCAAACAGGAAATTGCGTAGAAAGGAAAGAGAGAGAGAAAGAGAAAGAGAGAGAGACACAGAAAGAGAGAGAGAGATAGAGAGAGATAGAGAGAGAGACAGAGAAAGAGAGATAAAAAAGTGAGGAAGATTCAACAAAATAGCAAAGATTTGCAAACATAAGGGAAGAAAAAAATGTGAAACAAATAAAAGTTATATTCTAACAAAAAAGAATAAAACAGAATTGAAATAAAAATAAATCAGACAAATGAGGAAGATAAGAGAGAGAGAGAGATATCAGAATGAAAAAACTGAAAAAGAACAAGACAAAAATTGAAAATTTTTTAGAAGAGACTGAAAAAAATTTATGGAAGATTAGGATTACAAAAATTTGAAAAATGAAAAATATATTCAGATGAAATGTCCAAAAGAATGAGAGAAAGACTGAATTTAGATAAAGGAAGAAATAAAAACAAAAAGAAAGAAGAGAGAGAGAGAGAGAGAGAAAGAGAAAGAGAAAGATACCAAGATGTTTAAAAACTTGTGACCAAATAAAAAATAATGAACTGAAACAAAAATCTAAGATTTCATTGTATAGAGTAAGAGGTATCGCAAGCAAAAAACTCGCGCAATAAATAATTACCTACGTTTGTATGTATGTATGTTTGTATGTATGTTTGTATGTATGTATGTTTGTATGTTTGTATGTATGTTTGTATGTATGTCTGTATGTATGTTTGTATGTATGTTTGTATGTATGTCTGTATATATGTTTGTATGTATGTTCCAATTTATGTAAATATGTATGCGTGTGTGCATAAACACACAAACACAAAAAACTAAAAAAAAAACAATAATTCAAAAGTTTTTTATTTCATTTTTTCCATTACCTATTTGTAGAAAAAATCTATTTACAAACTGTGCTCAAAAAGATGGACGTTTGCACATACGTTTATATGTATGTGTGTTTGTATGTATGTATGTATGTTTGTGTGTGTGTATGTATGTTTGTTTGTTTGTATGTTTGTGTATGTGTATGTTGAGCCTGAGGAATTCTACGCTATAACGACGTCTTCTTTATTTAATTTTTTATGGCTCTCTGTACATAAATCAGAGCATAACTATTTGGTTCATGTATAAAAATTTTTGCAATACAACTTCTACTACTATTACTACTACTACTACTACTACTACTACTACTACTACTACTGCTACAACTACTACAACTACTACTGCTACTACTACAATAATATTACTACTGCTACTACTATTACTACTACTACTACTGCTACTACTACTGCTGCTGCTGCTACTGCTAATACTACTACTGCTGCTGCTGCTACTGCTAATACTACTACTGCTACTACTGTGATTATTGTTGTTTTTGTTATTATAGTTATAATTTTAATATTATTATTAATTGTATTGGTTCTGAATTTCGTTACAATACTGAGATGTTACTGTTATATTATTCAACAGCAGTTTCTACAGGGGCTGCTAATACTTATTAAACTTAGGCAGTAGTAAGTATGTTGTAGCAGCCATAGTGGTAGTAGTTGAAGTTGTAGTAGTAGTAGTAGTAGTAGTAGTAGTAGTAGTAGTAGTAGTAGTAGTAGTAGTAGTAGTGGTAGGGGTAGTAGTAGTAGTGGTGATGGTGGTGAAGAAGTTGCGGCAAAATCAGTAGTAGTAGCGGTAGTAGTAGCAGTAGTATAAAAAATGAACGCGATGTGAATTTGCATGCAAATTATCAATGAAATGAAATGAAAAAACCAAAGAAATGCCTTCGTAGAACTCACGATTTCAATTCAGCTGGGCTTCCAAATAAATTTTCTGTTAACTCTTCATTACTAGCACTAATACCATTACTGCTATCGCCACTACTACTACTACTACTACTGCTGCTGCTGCTGCTGCCACTGCTACCACTAACAGCTGTTAATGTACTGGCAGTCGTAGTAATAAATATATACTCATTGCGATTTATAATGCCATTATGCCTGGCGACTAAACTACTACTATTACTACCGCCACCACTACTACTACTGCCGCTACTACTACTACTGCTACTTTTACTACTATAACTACTACTATTGTTACCATCGTTATTGCTATTACTTTTAATACCAGACGTTTCAGCCGACTCAGTTAATCGATGTTGTTGTTGTTGTTGCTGAAGATTCTGCTGTTGTTGTTGTTGAAGATTCTGTTGAGGTTGTTGTTGCTGTTGTTGAGGTTGTTGTTGTTGATGATTCTGATAGTAATACAGATTAAATTCTAGAAACTCTAGGACAATTTTCTCCTTGACCTTCGAGACGATGACGTAAGTGAACGTTCTAAATGCTGGATAGTTCAAAGGGTAAAACGGGGAACAGATAATACCGCTGCTACTACCACCACTACTACTACTACTACTGCTACTGCTGCTGCTGCTACTGCTGCTACTACTACTACTCTCTATGTAGTAATAGTGATTGTTGTTGTTGCTGTTTGCATTTCTGTTTGGGATATCTCTACTAACAATAAATTGACGATTATTATTATCGTTATTATTATTATTATAACTATAATTATTATTATTTTTTTGTTGTTGGTAGGTGTGGTGATGATGAAGATGATGGTGATAATAGTCGCTGAACTTTTTTGGAGAAACGTGATGGTGTTGGCAGTACTGAAAAGTATTATCATTATAATGAGATGATGATAATGATGATGTTGACGGTGATGATAACGATAACGTATGCAACGATGATGATGATGATGATGATGATGATGATGGTGGTGAAGAAGATGATGATGATGATGGTGGTGAAGAAGAAGATGATGATGATGATGTTGTTTTTGTTTCGTCTTGAAATGGCAAAGGGGAAGGATTACATGATTGCCCTGTTAATGTTGAACGAATGAACGGATGAATGAATGAATGAACGAATGAATAAATGATTAAATAAATGAATGAATGAATGAATGAATGAATAAGTTAATTAATGGAATATTTGACCATTTTTTCAAACATGACAACTGTTCACATGAAATGCTCATTTTAGAGCAAAAAAGACATAAATTTCCATCTATCAATCTATCATTCTATCCATTCATCCATCCATTCATCCATCTATCCATCTATCCATCTTTATTTACCTTCATACATTCCACAATGTTATGCAGATTAAAAAATCAAATAAACCGGAAATAATAACCAAAAACTATAAATATAAACGATAACGATTTTTTCAAAAAAAACTTTTAATATAAGATATTAAAAAAAATTTCTTAAAATGTCTAAATGAAACGATAAACAAAATTACGAACGGAGCTGAGAGCATTTTAATAAGGAAAGACAGAGTGAAAAAAGAGAGAGAAAGAAAGAGAATGAGAACAAGAAAGAGAAAAAGAAAGAGAAGAAGAGAAAGAGAGAGCGCGAGTAAGCCTATAAAAGCCCAATAAATAAAACTTGAAAAACCATAAAAACTCCGAAAAAATTAGATAAAAATAGTAATAAATAATAACAATAATTTGATCTAAAAAAATATGCTAAAATTAAAAAAAATTGCAAAATGAAATGGAATTCGCAACTGAGAAATTGAAATTAATTAACTAAAAAGATTCAATAGTGGCACGGAAGGTTTTGAACAAAGTTACCTTCCAACCTACATACATACCTATTTACACACATACATACATACATACATGCACACACATACATACAAACATACATACATACATACAAACATACATACAAACATACAAGTACCGGCCTAGATTGATGTTCATAGAACCTCTCCCAGCTAGGACGTGATCAAAGTAATTTTTCAGGTTTATTTTTATGACACTATTGCTATTGTTGTGTTCAACGTCATTATCAGCATCAGCGTAATTATTATTATTATTATTATTATTATTATTAACATTTTTATCGTTGTTGTTTTTGATGTTGTTTTCGTGGTGATTTTTCTTATATTTGCCACCTAGATTGATTTTTTTAGCATCATTTCCACGAGCACCGTCATAGTCATCATCACTGCCAGCCACATCCTCTTCGTCGTCATCGTGTCTAGAAATTTCCATACCATCATTATAAACACCATTCTTTCTGCTACCGATGTCACCCATTACGTTCTCATCAATAACTGATACCGAATCGCTATTACTGCTACTGCTGCTACTGCTGCTACTGCTACTACTGCTACTGCTGCTATTACTGCTGCTACTACTGCTGCTGCAGTTACTACTACTACTGCTGCTGCTTCTTCTACTACTATTATTATTATTACTGATAATATTTTTATTGTTAATTTTATGGGATGTGCTTTCCTTAAGGTTGACGATGTCGTTTTTATTATTATTATTATTGTTGTTATTGTTGTTGTTATTATTACTACTATTTAAATAATTAGAGGTAGTAGTAGTAGAAGCAGCAACAGCAGCAGCAGTAGTAGTAGTAGAAGTAGTAGTAGTAGTAGTAGAAGTAGTAGTAGTAGTAGTAGCAGTCTCTGTATTAATGGCGGAGGCATTTAGAAATTTTAATCTCGCAACGAAGCCTGTTTCCCGCCAATTCGCAACTGCATCACTCCGGAAGATGATGGTCATGTGACTTCCGCTCGAGATCATCTCAACCGGATATCCGATTTCTGAGCAGATGCGTAGCACTTCCGGCCGAGTGTTGCTGATGTTGTTGTTGTTGATGTTGTGGTTGTTGTTGTCGATGTTGTGGTCGCTGTTGTGTTCGTTGTTGTGGTTGTCATAGTAACCGTCGTAAACAGTGATGACGTCATTGTTACATTTTGAATTGCACCTGGTTTTTTTTGATTTATGTGTTTCCGATGAAGTTTTTTTGGCGTCCAAGAATTACAATGGTAAAATGATGGTGACGACGACGATAATAATAATAATAATAATAATAATAATAATAATAATGATGATGAAGACGACGACAATGATGAGGACAACGACGATGATGATTAAAAAGATGTCTTTAAATAGACAACTGGACAAGAAATGCATTAGACGGCTGCTTCGAAAAAAATTCAAAGAATTTCTCCACACCTGACTATTATGAACGTTATCGTCATCATAATCGTCACCATCACCGTCATCATCATCGTCATCGTCATCGTCACCATCACCGTCATCATCATCATCATCGTCGTCGTAGTATAAAGATTAATTATGCAATCAATTCATCATCTTTATTTGATGAGTGCATTATTACCGACAAACGCATTTTGCAAAATGGCCGACAAAAATGGTGATGAATGAATGAATGAACGAACAAATGAATAAACGAGCGAATGAACGGATGAATGAATGAATGAATGATTGAACGAAAAGACGGATGGAATAAGGAGCGAACGAATAAACGAGCCTTCGAATGATTGATTGAATGAACGCACAAAAATAAACGAAAAATGAGTGAAAAAATGAATGAATGAATAAAAAAACGAACGAATAAATGAATAAATAAACAAATAAATGAATGAAAGAATGAATGAACGACAGCCACAATTAAATTTGAACTTCCACCTTGTTGTAATCTCTCAAAAAGATCATTTTCCCTTGGTATTGGCACATATGTATGCATGCATGCATGTATGTATGTATGTATGTTTGCATGTATGTACATAAACAATAATTTTTGAGCTATTTGTACATATTTTGGTACAAAATACAATACCTAATTTACATAAATACCTTTTACTACCCACAATGCGTTACAATCCAAATAATTTTTTATTATGTTTTAGCTCGTAGACAAAAGTTCGCGGCAAAAAAATATTCACTGCATTTTTATATTGCAAAACTTTGTATGTATAATGTATGTGTGAATGTGTGTGTGTATGTGTGAATGTATGTACGTGTGTGTGTGTAGGTATGTACGTGTGTGTGTGTGTGTACGTGTGTGTGTGTGTGTGTGCGTGCGTTTCTACGTAATATAATATTCCATTTATATTTTCGCTTTTGAAGTCTTTTCCTCGGTTATATTTTTTTCATTTTCCAAACATGAAAATATGATAAAGAGTTAAAAAGTTAAAGAAAAAAAAACCCTGACACGTTGTTCGCTTTTGAAGTTGGTTACTTCTGCTACTACTACTACTACTACTACTACTACTACTACTACTACTACTACTACAGCTATTACTACCACTACTATTACTACTACTACTGCTACTACTACTACTACTACTACAACTGCTCGTGCTGCATCTACTACCACCACAATCTGATAGAATGGAAGATTGATTAAATGATTAGCTGATTGGAGGCAGTTGATGAAAGAATTGTTTGATAGATTGATTCGTTTTAGATTGATAATATGTGAAAATCATTATTAAATTAACAAAGTGAATGAATGAATAAATGAATAAATGAATGTATGAATGATTGAATGAATGATTGATTGATTGATTGACTGACCGGCTGATTATTTTGTTGATTATTTTTTGGTGTACCAAAGGCCACTCGTTTCTGAAAAGAACGACGATGATGAATGAATTGATTTGAGAATTTCAATTAAAAGAGAAAAAGAAGGGGAGAGAGAGAATTAGAGAAAGAGAGAGAGAGAGAAAAAGATTGAGAGAGAAACCGTAGACGAAGCGTGAATAACGCTGATTGAAAATGAAATTTTATTTTCATTTGTATTTTAGTTTGGAACTCGCTGCGCTAAAACTAACATCTGATTGACTGTTTGATTGATTGAATGTTTGATTGGTTAGTTAATTGATTGATTAATATGATAAGATTGAAATGTAATTTTCTAAAAGTAACGTGACGTCACATATGACGTCACACTATCTTGTGATGTAAAGAATTCAAATATGAGAGAATGTAAATGTATTATGGAAAAATTTTTACTTGATTTTGTAAATTTAATGTAAATGTGATGTCTGTAAAGTAATGCTGTAATGATTTGTAATGTAATGTTGTAATGATTTGCAATGTAATCTAGAGTAAGTAAACGCTAGAACGCGATTCTGCTATTTAAATAATGACTCCAACAAATCAACACGAAGTAAAGAACCTTTTTTCTAAATCTAAAAGTATTGAAGTGATTAATTTTATGATATTTTTGTTTTGTTCATTTGTTTATTCATCTGTTCATTTATTTAGTTATTCATTCAATCGTTCATTCATACGTTCATTCATTCATTCATACATTTTTCGTTAATTTTTACCGCATGAATATGCTTGGATATAATGAGATTTTGTTATTATTTCTATGAAACTTTTTAATTTATTCGCTCATATATTATTCATATTTTCACATGTTAATTCACTCATTCATTTAAACATTCACTCATTCATTCATTCACTCATTCATTCATTCACTCATTCATTCATTCACTCATTCATTCATTCACTCTTACTTTTTTTAACGAGATAACGACTTTTGTGTACGAAAGTCGTGTTTACCAATCAATATTTTCTGGCGAGAAGGAGAGAGCAAAAGAGAGAGAGAGAGAGAGAGAGATGGAAAAAATGAAGAAAACAAAGAAAAAAAAGGAAGAGAGAGAAGAAAGAGAAAGAGAGAGATAGAAAAAAATGAAGAAAACAAAGAAAAAAAAGAAGAGAGAGAGAAGAAAGAGAAGAAAGAGAAAGAGAGAGAGAGAGAGAGAAAAATCTAATAATCTTCATATTATTCCACATCACCACCACCAACACCATCACAGTCGGCATCGTCATCATACCACCATCATCATCATCATAATCATCATCATTATCATCTTTAGCGTGATCATCATCATCACTGCCGTCACACTAACTAACACACAAATACCTCATCAAATAAGCAACAAAGGAGGAAGAAAATATGGCAGTTTCCTCATGGACGGGTTCAGAGTTGCATTACACCGACTAATCACTCATATACTCATTTATTTATTTATTCTTTCATTCATTCATTCATTCATTCATTCATTCATTCATTCATTCATTCATTCATTCATTCATTCATTCATTCATTCATTCATTCATTCATTCATTCATTCATTCATTCATTCATTCATTCATTCATTCATTCATTCATTCATTCATTCATTCATTCATTCATTCATTCATTCATTCATTCATTCATTCATTCATTCATTCATTCATTCATTCATTCATTCATTCATTCATTCATTCATTCATTCATTCATTCATTCATTCATTCATTCATTCATTCATTCATTCATTCATTCATTCATACGTTTTCTTGTTATTTTCATCGTTCGTTCGTTGATTTTTCAATACTTCCTTTCTTGCTTATTTGTCTTAACATTTGATTATCAATTCACTCATCCATCCATTCATTCATTTATTTTTGAATGTTCTTTCCCTCCATTTGTTCATTCGTTTCATATTATCCATCCATCCATCCATCCATCCATCCATCCATCCATCCATCCATCCATTCATTCATTTATTTATTCGGTTTTGCATTCATCATCACTAGCCATCGTCCTATCAACAATTCGTCAATTAATAAGCTTCACACACATACACATACACGCACACATACACATGCACGCACACACCTACACGCACACACCAATTCATACACACACACACACATACACGCGTGTTTCTGCATGCATGATATTTTGATTTTGGTGTCGTCTTGTATTGTAAAGAATGGAGGCGTTTCTCCAAGCTTGATTGGCTTCCCTTGACGCTTGTTTTTTTGTTTGTTTGTATGCATGTTGGCATGCATGCATACACTCATTCATTCATTCATTCATTCATTCATTCATTCATTCATTCATTCATTCATTCATTCATTCATTCATTCATTCATTCATTTATTTATTCATTCATTCATTCATTCATTCATTCATTCATTCATTCATTCATTCATTCATTCGTTCGTTCGTTCGTTCATTCATTCATTCATTCATATTTTCCATTTTAAACTCTTACCTTTCATCATCATCATCTCCACGTCCTATCTTCAAATGAGTAAAGGTCAAACTAATGACCTCTGTTTGAAGGGCATAGAAGTTGTACGTGCAGGTGACGTTGGTTGGGTAAGTCTGAGGATAGTGGGGCGAGAAGAGGACGCCAATTTTTATTGTCTTTCGACTCCGGAAGTCGTACGAGCATTTGGTGCCCCATTTTAAGCTGCCCCCTTTTGTCGCGAATTGATCTGTGGGATTGTGAGTGTTCATTGATTGGTTGGTTAGTTTATGAATGCTTATATGCTGGTTGCTGATTGGCCGGTTTGATGGGCTGTGAGTGTCGATTTGGCTGGTTGACTTGGATGCGAATGCCTAATGCCTAATGGCTGGCTGGCTGGTTCGATTGATTGTTGATATTGATTGCTTGGTTTGTTGGCTAAAAAACAAATGACTCAAAGATTATATAAACAATTCAACATCATTCTCATCATCATCATCATCATCACCACCACAACCGCCATCTTGAAAAGTGCCCTATTATTTAATGGCAATTTATTTCCACACTTTTTTGCCCTTACATGTAAAATAAATATTCTGGTTCAAGGCCGTGACCTCTGACCCTGCACTCTTACATACATACGTACATACATACATATATAGAGAGGAAAAGAAAGACAGACAGACAAAAAAAAGAGAAAGAGAGAGAAAGAGAGAAGAAAAGAAAGAGAGAGAGAAAGAGAAAGCGAGAGAAAGAGAAAAACGGAAGAGAAAGCGAGACAGAAAGCCCTCAGTTCCATATTTCTTTGTACGCTTGCAATGTTATCAAAAACATTTGAAACAGAATCAAATCAAAATGACTTTCATTATCATCATTATTATCTTATTCATCATCATCATCATCATCATCATCATCATCATCTTATTCTTCATCATTATCATCACAAACATCATCGTCATCCTCATCATTCTCATTAATCCCTGAGTGATTACAAAGGCCTCTAACTAACCAGAGTTAATTAGTTGATAAGTCGCAACTAATCATTTCGAAGATGATGATGACGACGCTGATGATGATGACGACGCTGATGATGATGATGACGATGATGATGGTTATAACGATGGTAATAGCAATTATATTGATGACGTAAAAACCTTGAAACCATCAATAAAACCAGGGTAATATATGCCGGTATGTATGTATGTATGTATGTATGTTTGTATGTTTTGATGTATGTTTATTGTATGTTCGTAAGTGGGTGTATGTTCGTATGTTTATGTGTGTTTGTTTGTTTGTATGTATGAATGTATATATGTATGTATATGTGTTTACCAATACAACAAAACATAACTAAACAACAACAACAAAAACAACTTCACAACAACAACAACAACATCCTAACATCAACAAACTTTTATCGATAAATCTGAACGAAGCGTTGAAACCGATGTTGTTGTTGATGTTGTAGATGTTGATGTTGTTGTTTGTTTTGATGTTTTTGTTTTTAATTCCAGTATTTTTAGCACGCGGTCCTGAATGAAATTCCACAATAAGGCTTCTGTCGGATGAATAATATTTTTTTCCGTTTCCGGTCAAGTTTCCGCAGATCACGTGATCCGGAAGTTGGCGATCCATGATTTCCGGTCGCTCGATGTTCAGGAAGAAGCTGAGGTAGTCGTTACATCTGCGTTTGAATTATGATTGATGGCGTTGTTTCTACTGTTTAAGAAGTTCTCTGTTGTTATGTTGTCTTTGTTGTTTTAGTTATTTGTTCTTTGTTGTTTATAGTGTAGTTTTTTCGCACGATCATCATCATCATCGTCATCATCATCAGCAGCAGCAGCTGCACATCATTCTCAAATCATGAAAAAAACTAACGTATTATCGCCTTCATTAGAACCACCAGCGTCAGCGTTTGTGACGCCATCGTCGTCACCAAAGATATTTAAACTAATTAAATTTATCTCCACAATTTCATCGGCCTCTCCAACGAAGGTGTAGAGGATGCATGAAATGTTGGCGGGGTACCTGAAGGGGTAGTCAGGGCTCGAAAAATATCCGCTACTGCCCCCGTTGCTCATGAATATTAAGCAGCTACAATCTGATGATGATGAAGATGATGATGATGATGGTGATGGTTGTGATGGTGATGATAATGAGGAGGAAGAAGAAGATAATGGTGATGATGAGGAAGAAGATAAGAAAAAAGATGATGGGAAGGAAGATGGAGGGAAAGAAGATGAGGAAGAAGATGATGGTGAAGAAGAAGATGAAGATGATTATCAACCTTTTTCAACTTGGTAGGTGCTTTCGTATGCTATGCAGTTCTTGGCGGCTTGTGACAAATTAATTGTTGCTACATCATCATTTTTATCATCATTATCATCATCATCATTCTCTTCATCATCATCACCGTCATCGTCATTGTTATCATTTTCATCATCAAAAACATCACCATTGTGAGTATGCCTGTGTATATTTTTTGAACAACCTTACTGCAGCTACACACACGCACACATAAACACACATCCACAGAGAGAAAAGAAGAAAAAGAAAGAAAGAAAGGAAGGAAGAGAGAGAAAGAGAGAAAGAGAGAGAGAGAAAATAATGGACGTATGCATCAAACTGTAAAAACAACTAATGATAAATTCATGAGTGAGGCAGACGCAAGCAAGCGCCTTATGTGATGAAAAAAGTTTAACGCACGGCAAACTTCATGTACCTTGCTATCCTTGGTATTCGTGCCTATTTGTTTGTTGTGTGCTTCTACGTGTTGGATGTGTGTTTACTTAGATGTGTATCAGTTTGTATGTATTGTCTCTGCCGATCTGTTTGTATGAATTATAATAGAAAATATATATAAATAGGTACGTACGTACCTATATGTGTACATACATTGAGAAGCTATTTTGAGTTGCACGGGGGCCGAGCCCACATGAATAAATTTTCTTCTTTTAGTCTCCGAATCATTCATGCTTTTTGTTTTGTTTGATTGAATAAAAGTGATTTTTGTTTGTTTGGTATATGCATTCATACACACAAACATACATACAAGCAAACATACAAACAAACATACAAACAAACAAACATACATACATGCATACCTGGTTCGCTGTTAAATGAGCCAGACGTCTCGAGCAGTTGATTCAACAGCAGCAGCATAAGTATAAATTGAAATTTGAAACTAAATGGCGACGACGATGATGATGACGTCACACAAGACGATGATGACGATGGTAGAAGAGATGACGATGAAGATGAAGATGACGAGAACGAAACTGATCTGAATGAAAAAAAGCGTAATAATGATAAAAAAAATGAAAAAAATGATAGTGACGTCATTAGTGACGTTGATATTGGCGGTGATGACGACGACGATGATGATGAAGGTGATGGTGTTGATGATGAAGAAGTCATTTTGACTGACATTGTTGACGAACGAAAAATGTTTTCTGGGAGAATTGTTGTCATGGTTAACGCTGTATATGTGCAATGAGGGTTTGTTGATGTTGTTGTTGTTGTTGTTTGTGATGTTGATGTTGTGGTTGTTGGTGATATTGATGTTGTTGTTGGTTGAGATGTTGATGTTGTGGTTGTTGGTGATGTTGTTGATGATTTTGTTGTTGGTTGAGATGTTGATGTTGTTGTTGTTGATGATGTTGTTGTCGTTGATGATGTTGTTGTTGTTGATGTTGTTGTTGTTGATGTTGTTGTTGTTGATGTTGTTGTTGATGATGTTTTTGTGGTAGTTAAAATCGGCAGAAATAACGACTTGGTCAGCTCTACCAAAATAAATATAAATAACAAACACGGTGATGATGATGACGACAATGGTAAATATGATGATGATGAAGAAGAAGAAGATGAAGAAGATGATGATGATGATGACGACGACGACGATGATGATGATCTAGACAAGGCCCAATGGTTTTTCGACGATCTATTTATCGATGAGGATGATGATAATGATGACGTTGATAGTGTTAACGATGATGATGATGATGATGATGATGATGGCAGTAATGATAGTGTTGTTGTTATTGTTGTTGTTATTGTTGTTTTTGTTGTTGGTGGTGGTGATGATGATGTTATTGATGACGGTTTAGCATTTGAAGGCAATTTCATTGAGTCAAAAATTATCGTTAATGTTGTTGTTATTGTTGTTGTTGTTGATGTTGGTGTTGTTGTTGTTATTATTATTATTGGTGTTGTTGAAGCACTTTTTAATGTTAACGTCATCAATAATAAATCCGACTCTGTCGATCTTTTTGTTGCTGTTGTTGTCAACAGTGACGTCATTATTGGTTCAGTGGTAGTTGTAGTTGTGGTAATAGTAGTAGTGGTAGCAGCAGCAGCAGCAGCAGTGGTAATAGTAGTTGATGACGTTGTTGTTGTTGGTGGTGGTGGTCGTAATGCTTTTGTTGTTTTTATCAATGATAGTGTCGTTGGTGACGTTATTTTTGCTATTTCCAACAAATGTTTTGTTACGATTCCTTCTGATGTTGTAGTTTTTAACGTAATTGTTGTTCTAGTTGTTGTTGATGTTGTTGAGGCTAATTTTATTGTCGTCTTTGTTGTTGATGTTGTTGTTGATGTTGTTGTTGATGTTGTTGTTGATGTTGTTGTTGATGTTGTTGTTGTTATTGACGTTTTCTGTGACGTCATTGACAGATGTTGCGTGTTGAGCCACGATTGTTTTGTCAATTTTGATGTCGTCAATTCTAATTGGCCGATCATGATCATTGGTACTGCTGTTGCTGTTATTGTTGTTGCCGTTGTTGATGTTGTTGTAGTTGTTGTTGCCGTAAGCGATGACGTCATTATCGACTTTGTTGTTGTTGTTGTAGTTGCTTTTGTTGTCGTTGGTTTTTGATAATTTTTATAGCAACAGCAACAATTTCTTCACTTCGTTAGAATATTTCCGCTCTTTAGAACAAATGTTCAAAATTTTTTACACTCCCAGCGTATTAAAAACTGTAGTAATCATTGTAGCAGTAAGAGTAGTAGCAACAGTAGCAGCAGCAATAGTAGCAGCAGTAGTAATAGTTAAATTTTTAATCATACCTGTAATTATGATGTTTATTATTTAATAATAATTATTTCGATTCAATTTAAATAACGAAGTGATATTATTATGAATGTAGTAGCAGCTGTAGTAGTAGTAGTAGTAGTAGTAGTAGTAGTAGTAGTAGTAGTAGTAGTAGTAGTAATAGTAGTAGTAGTAGTAGTAGTAGTAGTAATAGTAGTGGTAGTAGTAGTAGTAGTAGTAGTAGTAGTAGTAGTAGTAGTAGTAGTAGTAGTTATAGAGATTTCGTCTTCAATGTAGTTACGAACAAGAAATTCACAAATTTTTTTAATGCAAATGTTCAATTTAAAATGTCCAACTAATATAATCTATGCTTTTAGACGGGCTTTGTTGACATTGTTGTTGATGATGATGGTGATGATGGTGGTGATGATGATGGGGATGATGATGGTGATGATGATGATGATGAGGACGATGAAGATGACGACGATGATGGCGATACAATTGCGTTTTATCAGACTAAGAAGTTAATTCCCATAAGAATGGAAACCTACTAAACTGATGACCCTCTGATACCATAATGCCGCCCAGTGTTTTAAAATTTTCATCCTATAATGATGATGGTGATGGTGGTGACGATGACGTCATCGTCATCGTCATCGTCAAAAGAGGAACAGGATGAAGATTCAAATTCAGATAAAAATAGATGAATGAATGAACAAACAAATGAATTGGTGAATGAATGAGTGAATGTATAAATGAATGAATGTATATATGAATGAATGCATAAATAAATGAATGAATGTATAATTAGATAAATAAATATATGGAAAAATAAATAAATGAATGAACAAACGAGCAAACGAATGAATGAATAAAAAAATAGAAACATAATGCTGGTAACGGCTCAGTCCTAACAATACAGCCACATGTGCTTCACTAAAGTGCTCATAATGAAACAACAACAACGACGACGACAACAACAACAACAACAACCACACTAATAATAATAATAATAATAATAACAACAACAACAATAATAATAAAAATAATAATAGAGAATTTATAAACATAGTTTGTTTATTTTTTGATTCTTTCTGCTATAGGCTTTAGGTTTTTTTTATCATTATTTCATTCTCTTTCTCTTTTTGTCTCTCTCTCTCTTTCTATCTAATGGCATGAACACCGTTACAATTTCAATACAAAAACAACAGGTGGCAAAATTTCAAAGACAAAAAATGTACACACCAAAGTTGAACTTCGCTGTAATCTAACTAACCCCGCCAAAAACCATAATACCCCAGGTATGGTCAAACACCGCTTATCACCTTCAGATACTATTGAAGAGTATCGAATACAACCGGATACTGGCGAATAAAACCGGGTACCGTCAAATACAAGCCAGATGAGGATGGTAACGAAAATGTTTCGTCGGTATAAATTCGTATTAGGCTGACGTTTACTTTCGCTATATGTGCATGTGGCATACGAAAATGACGATGATCATAATAATAATAATAATAATAATAATAGTTATAATAACAACAAAACAACAACGTTAATAATAATAATATTTTAATAATTATAATTAACTAAATTATAGCGGAATAATAATATTATTATAAACGCATATGCGTGTATACATGTTTACGTTTTGTATCGTCGACCTCTCTCGCCTTCTCTCTCTCTCTCTCTCTCTTTTTCTGTTCTTCACCTTCGCTATCTATTTCTGTATTTTTCTCATCCTTTTTTAGCTCTCTCTCTCTTTTTTTTTCTTTTTATATTTCGTTCTTTCTCTTTTCTTCCCTCTCTCTTTCCGTTCTTCTCTTTCTCTCACTATCATTTTTAGTTGTGATCTTCATTAATAAATGCATTTCTGACGGTCATAATCCATATATATATATATATATATATATATATATATATATATATATATGTGCGTGTGTGCGTGTGTAAATGGTTTGCGTGCATGTTGGCGCATTTATCGAGGATACGGCATTCGCAGTTGAGTTCTCCTCCATTTTATTGGCGCTTTCACGCGTTTTATATCCATTTTTATGCAATTTTTTCTCTTTTTGCACCAATCTTTCTCTTTCTCTCAATCTCTCTCTCTCTCTCTTTTTTTCTCCCAATCTCTCTCTCTTTCTTTCATTCAACTTTCCCTCACTCTTTCTTCTAGTCATTTATCCCTTTCTCTTTCATTCTATCATAGTTTTTTTATTGCATAGTTTTCTCTAGTAGTGGTAATAACTATGGTGACAAATTAATAATAATATAAATATTAATAATAATAATAATTAATAATAATAATAATAAAATCAGCAAACATAATAATCAAAATAATAATAATAATAACACTGGGTTTTTTCAGGCATTTTGAAGCGCTCAATAAAAATCAAGATTGTTGGTTTAGTGGTATTTGATGGCATACTTATTTGGTATGTATGTATGTTTGTGTGTTTGTATGTGTGTGTGTGTATTTGTGTGTATGTATGTATGTATGTTTATGTGTATGTGTGTGTATGCGTACATGCATGTATGTGCGCATATGCGTGTCTTTGCGTGCACAACTCGGCATCCATTGTGCTTGACGATCATGCACATGTATCCTGGTTTGCATTTGCGGATGAATGAATGAACAAAAGAACGAACGAACAAATGAACGAATGAATGAAAGAACGAACAAAAAACAAAAAACAAACGAACGAATGAATGAAAGATTAAAAAAAACATGTTTTTTTCTTAGATAAGTAAAAATAAAGCAGAAAATAAAAGAAAGGGAGCGGGAATTCTCGAAAAAATAGTGAACCAACTACTGACAGTGCGCCATAAACCAGCCGCTCAATAAGGAAAAAATACACTAAGCCTAAAATAATCTTTTAAAAATATCTAGAAACCGGAATGGAAGAAAAATAAAAAGACTCTAAATAAACAAATATGGATAAAATTTAGAAAAACATACTGGAAGTAAAAATAAGCAAACACAGACATAAACAAAACACAACGCCCTGCAAAGACATAGACACAGACAAACATAGACTAAACAAAGAACTTAAAAACAAAGAATAAAAAACACTTGCGACAAACAAATGGTCAGTGGGACATACGTTCGGACCGGTAGCTCAGACATGCATGCATCAATGACGTCATCAGTTCTGTTGGAGACCAAAGATTCTAAATCTCCGCTGTCCAGAAAAAACATTTGTTCTGATGTTTATAAAAAGATGAATAACTAACTTGATGGAGTTAAGCAAAGGCTAACCGAACGATATTCATCATCCTACCTACCGATCACAGTGTATTATAAATTTATTCACTCAATCAATCAATCATTCATTCATTCTTTCATTTACATATTCATTTGCATTCGTTCATTCATTTATTCATTTGCATTCATTCATTTGCATTCATTCATTCATTTGTTCGTTCATTCATTCATTACATCATCCACTCGATTATTCTCTTATCTGATGTTTAACACATCCTGTAAATAATTTGGTCGCATTAACATAATTTATTGGCTTTCTGTGTATTAATTAATCAACAATCCCAACAACAACAACAACAACAATGGTAATTATAATAATAATGAAAATAATAGCAACAACGACAATAGCAACAACAACAACGACAACAACACTTAACACAACAACACTTTATTTTTCTTTTAAAATTTCATACTTCCAAACGAAAAACTTCTTAATACATTTTTATGGATTCCATTGGACTTAAGTAATGTACTCTGCGGACTGGAATGTCCCTCACAGCCACAGGTTTCATTTTTGCTAGTATAGTTTTGGGAGATTTCTTTCATTATTTTTCTGGGTTATGTTTGTTTGTTTGTGAGTGAGAATATGTGTGTGTATGTATGTTTGTATGTATGTTTGTATGTGTGAATGTATGTTTGTTTGTATGTGTGTGTGAATGTATGTTTGTTTGTATGTTGTGTGTGTGAATATATGTTTGTATGTATGTTTGTATGCATGTTGTATGTTTGCATATATGTATGTATGTTTGTATGTATTGTTTCTATTTTTATTATTTCAATTTTTCAACTCATACTTTAAGACCAAAATGCATCTCAGAATTAAATTTTCAATCTAGATATTACTTCTATTCATTCATTCATCTTTCTGTTATTCTCGTAATAATTTATTCAGTTTTTAGTTATTTATTTCATTCATTTAATCATTCAATAATTCATTCAATAATTCATTCAATAATTCATTCATTCATTCATCCCGTCATTCATTTACCCATTCATTCAATCTAATGACTTTAATTTGTTTTAGTAAAATTTTCCATTTCATTCCAACTTATTAAATTCATCCATTCATCCTTTGTGCGTATGAATAACGCTTTTCGCTTTAGCGATAACATATTCATGTATGTGTGTGTATGCGCGCGAGTGTGCGTGTATGTGTGTGTATGCGCGTGTGTGTGTGTTTGCGCGTACGTGTGCGTGTATGTGTCTGTATTATTAGCTGTATGTATTATTTTTGCTTGAGCGATTTAATAGTGCTTTTATTAAAAGCAGAGATCCTTTCGTCTATAATGTCGGAGGCAGCTCAATACATGCAAAATACATGACCAGTAGAGAATAATTCCGCAATGACGTTAGAAAATGTCATAAATTGATGTGTCATGTTTCTCCTTTGCGGTCAGTTGACGGGTTCAGTTTCTTTTTTGCTGGATGTTGCAGCCATTCTTCAAATGTCCTCTCGCCAATTCGAACATTTTTTGTCGATTTCATCAGCAAATTTGGCAAAAATACAATAACCAAAATGAAGTGGATAGTTGGGTTTCATCAGGTTTAATGGTTGAGTTTCACAAGGTTCATCATTAACTTAATCCTGAACATAAGATATCATGATATCACTTGAATGTTTATCATTTTCAAATGTTGATAGATATCATATTAAATGTTGATACGCTGCTTACGTGGTATATCTTCTTGCGAATAAATATCTTCCTTGCTGTCGGCCCCCATCTCGTTAAGATGCTGCGATCCGATCATGATTTTTGTCTTCAAAAATTTTTTTTCCTTCGACGAAATTGTTTCGTCTCTATTTCTTTGTTTGTACGCCTCAATACATTTGCACGATGATGAATGCTTGAAACTCGCCGGTGAACAGTTTGGTGGATTTTGAAAAAAATATCAATAACAAGACAGAGACAGATAGACATAAATCAAAATAAACATACGCACTAACGCTACGGCAACAGCAACAGCAGCAGAAGTAGTAGTAGCAACAGCAGTAGTAGCAGTAATAGTAGTAGTAGCAGCAGCAGCAGTAGTAGTAATAGTAGCAGCAGCAGCAGAAGTAATAGTAGTAGTAGCATCAGCAGCAGTAGTAGTAGTAGCAACAGCAGCAGCAGCAGTAGTAGTAGTAGTAGTAAAAGTAGTTATACTACCGTAACGGATTCTATATTTGCCGAAATCTCTAATAAAGGAAAGAAGCGTAAAAAAGATGAGACGAAGAAGTTCATGAAATAAACAAACGAACTGACAAATGAAGAAGTTAAAATAATTGAAACTAACTTTCTAGAAGATTTATGGATGGAAAAATGTGCGTGTATGTGTGTGTTGTATTGTTTGTTTGTGTGTGTATGTATGTTTGTTTGTATATATGTATGAATATGTGTATGTGTGTATGTATTTATGATTGTATGTATGAAAGTATGTATACAAAAAGTACATAAACATAAATACATACGTACGTACGTACACCCAAGATACATAACACACACACACACACACACATAAACATACAAAATTATACAAGCATAAAAATACATACACAGCCATAACCATTAACAAACCATCTATGTTACATACGCTCATTAATTTGGCTGAGAATGAAACATTATATCCACGAGAGAAAGAGAGAGAAGAGGAGAGAGAGAAAGATTGAAAGAGAAAGAAAGAGAGAAATGTGCAGAGAAATTAAAAAACATTATAATTATAGGAGCCAAAGAGTATCTCTAGGAGGAGAAGCGGGGAGGACGAAAGAAAGAGAAAGAACGAAAGAGATAGAGAGAGAGGAGAGAGAGAGAGGAGAGAAAGAAGGATAGTGAAAAAAAGAGGCAGGCAGGCATACATACGTCATTGTACTTAATCTTGCATCAGACGAGAACATCAACATCACAAGGCTCTCACATGATAAATGCCCGCCTGCCTTTCTGCCTGCCTGCATGCACTGCACACCTTCGAAATATGGCTTGGCTTGCTTGTGGAAGGAAAAAACCACCTTTTTGTATGTGAAAAATGATTACCTGCTACTATTATTATCAATATTTTTTATATTTTTATTCAAATTTATTTAAGATTATTTAAACAGTTTTGTCGTTAGAGAGAGACAGAGCGAGAGAGACAGAGCGAGAGAGACAGAGCGAGAGAGACAGAGCGAGAGAGACAGAGCGAGAGAGACAGAGCGAGAGAGACAGAGCGAGAGAGACAGAGCGAGAGAGACAGAGCGAGAGAGAGAGAGGACGGCGTGAAATGCTTCGTAACTCAACACGTAGAGCTGTTAAAAATTTAATAAAATAATATTAAATTCTTAAAAATTCATACAAAAACCATGTTAATGCATTCAGATTTATGTTAATTTATGCAAATTTATTTTGTCGCAACAGCTTTTAACGACAACCATAAATATAGACTCTGTCGTTTATTTCTTTTAACGTTCTAAAACAAAAAATTTTTTAATTATTTTTAAATTTTTTTATTCAAAAATACTCTCCTTTTGAAAATCAGCTGTGTAAATAAAACTTCTTTAAACTAAATAAATGTAGCAGTAGTTGTAGTATTAGAAGTAGCAGTAGTAGTAGTGGTAGTAGTAGTAGTAGTAGTAGTAGAAAAAGAAGAAACAGTAGTAGTATTAGAAGTAGCAGTAATAGTAGTAGAAAAAGTGGCAGTAGTAGTAGTAACAGCAACAGTAGCAGCAGTGGTAGTAGTAGTGGTGGGAGAGGCATATGTTGTACGTACATCGTGTCAACATATTTATCACAAAAACAAACATCTCAAAAAATTTGTTAAACATACAAACACAAATTCTCTCTCTCTCTCTCTCTCTCTCTCTCTCTCTCTTTCTCTCTCATATACACATGCTTACACAACATATATACATATACAAGCACACAGACACACACACGCAAATAGATTTAATTGAAAAACTCTGTATGTTTCTTCATAGCCGTCTAATTAAAAAAAATTTACTCCAAAAAGCTTTAGACAAGTAATTAAAATACTATTACAATGTGAGTACGTTTGAGAACACCTCTGAATACCTCTAATTTTGAAAGACCTCTAGTTTGAGTATAAACAAATACATATAGGAATTCCCGCGATTCCCATTCCCATGCTAACCCCTAACTCGGACTAGAGACTATAGAAAAGGTATTTAAGTAGTAGTGGAAGTAGCGATTTCAACTGCGATTTCAGAGCAGCGGTAGGTGGTGTCAGCAGCTGAAGAAATGGCAGCGGCAGTAGCGCTGATGCTAACTAAAGCAGTTGTAGTAGTGGTAAGAGTGGTAGTGTTAGTAGTAGTTCAAAAAGTAGGCCCTGTGGTGTGGATTTACTTTTGAATTCGCATTGTTAACGTTGCCAGCGGATTAAGATTTAATATTTTCAAGTAAATCTGCCTTGAGTCCTTTTTTTTCTTGTTTCATAAGATGACGTCATTACTCTTTATCAACGTCATCATCGTCATTCTTATTGTTAATGAATAATTGTACATATATTGTATCGTATAATTGAATCAATTGATTTATTGGCTGGCTGACTAATTGATTGACTGATTAATTGGTTGAAAAATTGATAAACTAACTGATTGATTGGTTAAAAAATTGATAAACTAACTGATTGATTGGTTAAAAAATTGATAAACTAACTGATTGATTGGTTGGTTGGCTGGCTGGTTGGTTGGTTGGTTGGTTGGTTGGTTAGTTGGCTGGTTATTTGTACAATCAGCAAGAGAGTTGACCCATCAGGCGCCTTCAAATTGAAGTTGACAGAGGCTTTTATTGATGGTAACATTTTTGTTAACCATGTTATCGTTATTGCTGTTATTATTGTTGCTGCGCTGTTTGCATTTAATTGTGTATCGTCTCATTTTTTAGTCTCGTCTCGTCTCGTTTCGATTTCGTCTCGTTCCGATTTAATTTAAAACTAAACACCACTAAGGTTTCTCATGTTTAAATCAAATTCATTTTAGAAACCACATATGCTGACAAAGGCGATTTTGAAAGCATTAGTGCTCGCGCACTTGATTGCGTAAGCTTGCGTGTACCTAGAAAGACCCTTGCCAAAGTACACATAAGTACATGTGTACTTAATTGTAAGTACAAACGCACTTGCTTGAGTATTTACTTATTGAAATACTAATCCCTCATTAACTCAATTTTTTTATTTTCTCTCACTTTCTGTTTTCCACTTAAACTTCTCCTTTTTTACTCAATTTCTTTCTTTCCATCAGAATTCTCTCTTCTTTTTACACATCAACTTCATTAAATGCATTCTTTCCCTTTTTCTTTTTCTTTCTCTCTCTTTTTCTTTCTTTCTCTCTCCCTCACAAACACACACACTCTCTTATTTACTCTTTCTACTTCTCTGTTTCTCATTTAAACTTGTCCTTGCTTTCTCTGTTTTTATCTTTCCATCACTTTTCATCCTTCCTCTCTCCTCGCAAATTTTTATTTTCCCAAACATATATTATAATATGTTGCAATTGATTTAAAAGAGCATAATTTTATAACTATAATAATACTACTAGTAATAATAATAATAATAATAATTATTATTATTATTTAATTACTTTTTCATAATTTATTTGAGATAAAATTTTCTCTCGATAAATTTATACAAAAGAGGAAATGGTAGGATCATTTATTTTTTATTACTTCTCCAGTATATACCTCAATGACATGCGAACGGCCGAATGAACGAACGAACGAACGAACAAACGAACGAAGGAATGAATGAACGAATGAATGAACGAATGAACGAATGAATGAATGAATAAATGAATTTATGGGCAGAAAAATGGATGGACAAACGGAACGGCCGGCGTCTGTTGAAAACGTAAACATCGGTTAGTGCAGTTAGTACATACGGAAGTCGCCATATTTAATGATTTTAAATAGAAAGCGGAAATGAGACGTGACGTCATTATCACGTGTTGTATGATGGGTGATGGGCGAGTTTTTATTTTTAATAATTTAGATTATTATTTTGTTCGTTTGTTTTTATTATGTGTGGGGGTATAGTTATTGTTGTGGTTGCTTTCAATAGATGCCCTTAAAAGTTAATTTATGAAAAATTTTAAGTTACCAGTATTAGTAGTAGTAGTAGTAAAGTAGTAGTAGTAGTAGTAGTAGTAGTAGTTGTTGTTGTTGTTGTAGAGTAGTAGTAGTAGTAGTAGTAGTAGTAGTAGTAGTAGTAGCAGCAGCAGCAGTAGTAGTAGTAGTTGTTGTAGTAGTAGTAGTAATTCAATAGTTATTCTTTCTTTGTTAATTAGTATTCTACACATTCGCATCAAATGTTGTTTGTTTGCTTTTTAATGTTATTAATAATTAAGCTCGTATGTGAATTGTACGTGTGTGTGCGTGTATGTGTGTGTGTGTGTGCGTGTATGTGTGTGGTGTGTGTGTTTCTCATGTTCGAAATGTCACTCTTCTTTGTAAAGCAACTGATAGATGGATGTCTGTCTATTCTGTCTATAAGTATGGATGAATGAATGAATGAATGAATGAATGAACGAACGATTGAACGAATGAATGAATGAATGAATAAATGAATGAAAATAAGAGACATTTCAGCAAATAAATTTCTAAGCAAGATAAATGTATAGACGGATAAACGAGTAAAATGATGAATTGAACGAGAGACAAAATAATAAATGAATAAAAAGAAGAAAACCACGAGATAGATGGACGAATGAAATAATGAATTGAATGAAAGATAGACAAAATGAAAGAATAAAATGGAAAATTTACTCGATGGAAATTGAAAAAATAGATGAAAAATAGCGTCGCAAGGAAGTTTTAACTGCCATTCCATCCATCACCGTTATATCGTTGTAAGTCCCTAACAAATAATGCGAGTGAATGAATGAGTGAATGAGTGAGTAAGTGAGTGAGTGAACGAGCGAGTAAGTGAGTGAGTGAGTGAGTGAGCGAGCGAGCGAGTGTTTGAGTGAGCGAGTGTTTGAGTGAGCGAGTGAGTGAGCGAGTGTTTGAGTGAGTGAGTGAATGAGTGAGTGAACAAACAAATGATTGATTGAATGAATGAATGAATGAATGAATGGATGGACGAAGGACTGAATGAATAACTGAACTATCAAAAATTAAATATGCAATATATATGATGAATAGATATGAGATATACAAAATGAAAGAATATATGAATGAATGAATGAGTGTGTGAGTGAATGAAAGAAAAAATGGTTGAACATGTCACCAACATAATAATGACGTCATTATACGTGCCTCTGCTCAGTTAATGAATACTTCAAAAAAAACAACAACAACAAACACAACCACAACAACAACAACAATAATAACCATCATTACTATTCATATTATTATTTCAAGCACATGATATAGATTGATGGATAAACTTCAATTTACTGGCATTTAAATTTATACAAAAATGAACGAATGAATGATTGAACGAATAAACGAACGAACGAATGACTGAACGAAAGAAAGAACGAACAAATGAATGAATGAATAAACAAATAAATGAATGAATGAATGAATAAACGAATAAATGAATGAGTGAATGAATGAATGAGTTTAGTGAAAGAAAGTAGCGAAAAAAACCACATGTCATTTGAAATATATTGGCAAAAAATATAATAATAATAATAATAATAATAATAATAAACGTGAAAGTAATAACAAAAATAATAATAATAATAATAGCAATAATAACAAAGCCCAATATTCTCGTCAACTTTGTAGTTGTTTATGACCAAACAAATAATGCCTATGATTTCATATACATATGTATTATATATATTATATATATATATATATACACATATATATATATATTTACATACATATATCAATACATATATATATATATATATATACAAAGCAATACAAAACTCTCTCAATGAAAATGATAAAATTAAAATACAAAACTACTATGCAAACCCCAAAACGCAATCCGTGATAATGGAAGAACAATAATTGCACTAAAATAGCAGATTCAACACTAGATAGAAGTCATCTGATATATCTA